GGGGGGAGGATAGGGAGTTTTTTCTTCTTTTGAAATGTGTAATACTGTCTTTGTCCGTCTGTGTGATATTTGAGGTACATTAGTTTCTGACGCTCCGCTTAAAAGCAAGATTTTGTGATATGACCGTTTATTTTTAGACGTACTTAGGGTCACTTCCTCTAAACGTTGCTTGCTTCTATAAAACATGTGGACAGGTAAAGCTTGAAAAGGGGAAATTTTTGCTACAGCCTTCACAGCTTGCATTTAATAATGCAAGTGTAGACAACTGGACCATAGGTGAGACTGCCCCTCACAAAGACCAAAGAATGGGTGGTTGGCGGGTGCTCTTGTGTGATTTGCTTCTTCTTTCCTATCAAACCTCTATTGTCCTTATCTCCCCTTCTCCTTTTCAATGTTTGTTACTCTCTTGTAACGCCTCTAATCTTCTGGCGCTCATATAACCTCATGCAGTTGCGAGCGCCGTAAAACCTCTACTTAAACTAAACAGACCTAGGAGAGGGATACACAGCGTTTTCTCACCCATCCACGCACGGACACATTGAATCAGGGCTGGGCTGTGATTGGGGAGTCATTTAATAAAACAGACATGTTTCATCTCATTATTGGCGAAAGCATCCCCCCCCCTCCCCCCCTCAAGGGAAATGAGAGAAGGTTGTAAGGTTGTATCCTTTCCCCTTTTGCACCGGTTCACGTAAACGTGTGAACGCATGTTTTTGTCCATGCAGGTCGCAGCGGTGGAGGATACGACAACATTGACGACCCCTACCCCAACGTCCACGGCAAGCCCTCAGCCCCGCCCACCTACCAGGAGCCCCCTGCATCAGCCTATCAGAGCCCACCTCCGCCTCAGGCCTCGGTGGCTAGTCAGGGGCAGTCAGAAGCCTAATTCGGCACGGAACATGAGAGAACGGAGAGGAGAGAAAGGAGGAGAAGAGGGAACATACACCATGTATGAGGGGAGAGGAGAGAGAGGAGGGGAAGGTAGATCCGGTGTGAGGGGG